AATCATCAAAATATCAGTAATGAGGTAAACAGCAAGCGGGAATTATTGATAGATTTTTAACTGTATTTAGCATGGAATTATATGAAACAATTCAACTCTTTCTACAATAGAAGAGATTCTCATGGAAGTGCCCGAAAGCTTAACTACAGTCAAACAATAGCAGAATACTTTTAGTTTGGCGAAACTTCTCATCTTTTCTCTTCATAGACTCGCGTTAATCGATAACTTATCGTCTGCAGCAATCGAGGCAATCAATCAGAAACGTTTGTGAGAAGGCCTTCATACGCCACCAAAAAACAGAGTTGTGAGTGAGGGAACGATGGAACGGAATGAAACGGAAAAAAACTTGCAAGCCACAGAGCACTTAAACTTTTCTATGGATCGCTGCGCACAAAGAAGCGTTGAAGCAGCAGCAGCAGCAGCAGCAGCAGCAGCAGAGGCAGCAACAGGAGCATAGCTTCATAGAGCACAGGTGCAACAGTACAGGCAAAAAAAAACAAACAAATAAAGCAAAAAGAGAAAAGAAAATATATACCTGAAGCTGGCCTTGGCTGCTGCTGCTGCTGCTGTTGCTGCACAGGCAAAACCGCGAAAATCAATTGAAAAACTCACTGGCAAAGGAATAAAAGTGTAGCTGCATTCAAATGTGGGCGAGCGACGTGGGAGGGGGAGGGGCGGAGGAGCAACTGTTTTGACTTGTTGGCGGCGGCATCAAAAAGCGCGTAGCGGCGCAAAATGAAAACAGTTTGTCGACTGCCAGTTGACGAGGTCCGTCTCTCCATCTCCATCTCCCTCTCTCACTCACTAACCCTGCGCGCAAATGAGAAATGAAAAAGTTTACCCGCCAGCCAAGCCCTGCACACTGGCGCCCCCTGTCGGTGCAGCCACAAAGTCAATGCAGACAAGTTCCATGACCTTACAAACGCAGCAGCAACTGAGCCACAGCGTGTCCTGTGGGAAGTTGCCCAGATGGGTGGATGGTTTGAGTAGTACTGCTCCCTTGTGAGTGTGTGTGAGTGTGTGTGTGTGTGTGTGTGTGTGCGTGGCTTTTGTAAAACGTCAACGTAATAAACAAAACTGGCTCAAGATTTTTACGCGTCCGCGTCCGCCCATTAAAATCATTGACATTTAAATGCGCAATTTTTGTTGCCGCCAGAGGGCGCCAGGATACACAACTATTTGCTACTTTTGAGTTAGAGAGCAAAGCAAAGCTGACAGAGGCAGAGGCAGCAACAGAGGCAGCGGCAGCGGCAGCGCCTAACGGATTTTCGTTTCCAGTTTGGAGAGCTCTCTGCCAGCTCTTTTGCGCTTTGATGTTTTTGTATTTTTTGTTGCTTTGTGCGCTGCATACAAATTCAATCTGTGTGCGTGTGTGATTGTGTGCGTGTGTGTGAATGTGTTTGTGCAGCGCCCACTGGCGGACGGCGAGTGCAATGCTGGCTATCATTAAATGCTCTTTGCCTCAAAGTTTCTCTTCTAATTGTTGTTGTTGTTTCATTTTTTTGTTCGACTGTATTTCTACAATTAAATTTTAATTAAGTGGACAGAAGGATTTCGTCTACTCTCTCGA